GTTAACATAGGTTAATATGTGGTAATATGAATCTTTTAAGAAAAAAAAACATTGCAAGACTACAATATTTGCTGTTGCGTTTCAGTACACTAATAAACACCAGTGCCTCTTTACTTCCATCAACATGGATGTTTTTTTAGATTTAACATTTTCTTTGCCAATTGTTAAAATATTGGGTAACAGATAGATCCAGACATTTTAGACCTAAGCCTGTAAGTCATTCTTGGATGAGATTCACAAACATTCATCAATAAATTTGATTTCTCCAATAATGTAAAGATTTTGATAATGGTTTGTATTTGCAAAAAAGCTCTATTGAATACACTGAGAGATAACTGTACAGCAACAAGTTCTAAGGCTGCCATAAACAACCTACTGTAAATACCGGTACTAAAGACTGCACAATCATATGTTATGTTTGGCTTACAGTGAAGGGAAAGGGGGGAGGGGTTAACAAGGATATGAATAAGGGACAGCCAAGCATGATAGCATTTTCCAGGACCTAACAGTAAAACCAGTGAGAATGGTGCTAACTGCCACATATGTTTATTTCTGAAAAAGTGTATTCAAAAGTAATTGGGAATCTGGCAGTTTTTTATGTTTGTGAGAACAGAAAGACGCAGGAAGGGGGGAAAATGTAAGATCACCTTCAGTGTGTATTTTCTGACTCATTTGGAGTTTCTAATTTATATCTACATTACTCTTCATTTTAACACACAATTGTATAATTAGATAATCAATTTCATAATTTATACTACTGATAATAAATGATCTGCATTTGCCTTGAAGCCGTTTGGTGTTATATTACAGGTTTTTTTTTAAACTATGCTCCATGGAGTTCATAAGAGACTAAAGACAAAAGATGAATAGAAGAAGAGAGTTCACTCAAGTACAACCAATTTCCCAGTTTATTAATTTTGCTCCTTCTCTAGCAGTTCCAGAATTCCTTTAATATAATTTTTAAATTAAAAAAATAATCCAATCAAACCCCTGTCAAACGAACAATTGGCTATTTAGTGCAATCATTGTGGTTTTTGTTGTGTACATTAGAGGAATTTCTACCTGACAGAATTAGAACTTTCAATCATTGTTTAAAAATATCATGATAGATGTTTTCTGAATTGGAACAGAGATGGAGAGAGGCAATTGTGTCTCAATTCACCCCACTGGGTAGAGTCCTTAGTGCTCTCTGAGTTTGGTTGTTCGTTGTCTCTACCTTTTAATCAGGATTCCATGCATCATTCAAACAAATCTTACCTCAGATTTGTAGATAAGCAATGTCATATTAACAGTTTTATACTTAATTTTTTTCTAATGATATCTGACATGGAATATTGTTTTTCACAGGGATATTATTTTCACTGAGCTATTTATTACTACTTCATCAAATACTTGGAGTCATACATAATCATATTTTTTTGCATTTGTATGTATTACTTCTATTAAACAGTTTTTATAACATTGGCATTCACTTACACTTTATATCTTCTATTTTCATAGTTTGGAAAGATCATGGAACAGAACAAGCAATCTTTTTATGAAAAAGGCCACACTTAAAAAAGGGCAGCAAAGCATATGATTTATAACCTAATTAAAATGGACACACTTACCGATGCCTTCCATTCATTTCCAATCCAACTACAGGGCAAATAAAACGTGCACTTTGGATATCAGCATATTTATCCCCTTTTGTATTACCCTTATCACCAGTCCAAGCTGGATTGTCTGAGAGATTCAATTCTATGACATTCTGCAAGAAATGAACAATACTTTATATAACTTGATTTGACACTATGATAAAGGAAGTATCATCTAAATTGGAAGACAACAGTAGAGTATGAAAAATACAAATATTCTAGAACAAAATATATAGGATATATATGCAAGCAGGCAGTTTCTGGCAAGTGAGTGACATCACACTTAATAGAAAGCATTCTATGTTCCTGATGATGTGCTATGGCTTCAGCATTGCTAGGAGTGATTCTAATATATAGTACAGGTTTTAGGATCACCTCCCTTTTCTTTCAGCAAGTTAAGAAAGGGGTAATAGAACTGTTTCTAACTTCAGGCCAAGTCTGAAGCATAAGACAATGTCTGTGGGAAACAGGCAGTTTCTGGTGATAAAAGCATTTTTCTTGAATTAGGTTAAACAACATCAATGGACCTTTATAAGTTTAAAAGGGTCTGATTCTGGAAAAAAGTATGAGGGAAGGAGAAAAAGCAATCTTTACAGGAAGAATTATGACTGTGTTTAGGCATAAGAAGCAAAAAGAAGGCAGCATAGGTAAAAAGCAGCAGCCTGACAGTATATATTTACGTCACAGAAGCAAAAAAGAAACATGTTGGTGTTTGTTTTTGGAAGAAAATGCATCTCACATATCCCCATTTTTTTTAATAAAAAAAATACTGCATAAATAAGATGCTTCAGAGTTTCATTAAAGGAAGTTTATGTCAAAAAAATAAAGAGAAATTTTGTGGCTGTCTGCTTAACTTGTATATTATAATCATTAACATGTATTTTAAACATGTTAACATACCTTAATACTCTTGATATGGGATGCAGCTTCCACAAGGACTTTATCGGAAGATTTATCCAGCAAAAATTCAATGACTCCATCTTTGTTGTAAAGTCTATAGCAAAAAAATATATTATGAAAAATAGGTTAACTTTCTAATTCAAACTTATTCAAAACATGTGACTTTGTCTGAAAAAGAATTTAAAGTGTAATCTTACCTGCCAAGTTCACAAGCTACTATAGGTCGGTTTAATTTTTCTTGACTTAGAGTGCAATAGTACCATTGGGCTACTAATTCTGCATTTTTGTCAACCTGAGGAATATAACAAATTATATACAGTTTTAGAAAAAGAAATATTGTTAAATTCAAAATCTTTCTACTTACATGTAATTTTTTTTGCCCCATTTGGATTTGCAAAGGTGTCCTATACACGGAAAAATTAGGGTTTGGTCAACTAAACTACGTATATACTTCTTTATTGGAAGTCTAAGTAACACAGAATAGATATTACTGTGTGCCATGATCTATGTAGATTTTCTTTCTCCAAGACTATACTGGCTTTTTTAGTTGCTGCTTCACATCATGCCAGTTACTTTCAGAATGCTACATTTCTACTTTATAAGCATAAAATGATTTTTTATTTTATTATGAAATATTTATACCTCCCTACTCTTCATGACTCTGGCAGCACCCAGATAAAAACACAGAGAGTATTAACACTGTAGTAAAAAACAAAACAAAAAAAGTGGCACAAACCAAGCAACAAGCAGCAAACCCGTTATACCTAGAAAGGGGCTTCAATCACCCTCACAAAAATGAAGTAACCACAGAAATAAGCAAAAACCCACAACATAATGTATTTCTGTGCTTATTTCATCATGCTTATTCGAGTCAAAACTGAGTCTGGCTGCTGACACAGCGACAAGTATATGCTCATCTGAATATTTGTAATATTGAAGAACAAGTTATAATCTCACATTTTGAGTTGGTGAAAAGCCTTACCCCATTTCAACGCTTACTCTGACATGGCCTTTTTCTATCTTGTGGCCAACCTCCTCGAATATTTGAAATTATGTGGATACATTCATACATACATACATATCAATCACGTAAAAACAAACATAGTATAATAATCTGATCATAATGGAATATGCTCCCCTGACAGCCTGGGTGTACCAAATCCCACCCACACGTCCTCATTAAAAAGAAAAGCTTGCCGTTTTAATCAAACCGACTCCTAGCTCCCTCTTTATTTCTGGAATTACTTTTCTCATAAGCAAGTTAACGTTATGAAACTCGATGAAACTCCTGTCTGCTATAGTAGTGGATCTATATAGGCCACCATTTCTCTATTCCAGGACGGAACACACCACCAGCCGGAGCTCTCCTTTCTCACCCCGGCCTCACCTTCTCCACCTTACGAGGGCCCTTCACCAGCTCGTGCCGCTTCGGGATGGTTCCTCCATCGCAACCCATTTCGCCTTCAACTTGCTTTCTGTAAGTTCCGGGTTGCCAAGCAGAAAGAGTCTTCCGGTCAGGTGACCCGAGCTTTCCGGCGCAGAACGGCGACATGACGGGCAAGGCGTGATGACGTTTGCAGTTATGTTACTCGGGTAACCTAGTAACGAAGCGGCTTCCCAAGGCGGAAGTTTCTCCTTAGGCCTGTATTCGCACTAATACACTGAGACACAAATTAGACAACCGCACGTTACTCTAGGGTAGTGTTTCTCAATCTTGTCAACTGGAAGATGTGTGGACTTCAGCCTCAAGCCTGGCTGAGGAATTCTGGGAGTCGAAGTCCAAACATCTTCCAGTTGCGAAGGTTGAGAAACGCTGCCCTATTGCCCTGCGCTCGTTCAAGCCGGTGGGTTGAGTTCAGGAATCAGAATTTCGTGCGAATTCACTAACCTGGGTTTTGTGGTTGAGTCAGTATGGGGATGATGATGTAAAACTAAGATTCTGATCCCAGCCACAGTTAACTAGGCAGATTTAACAGAATAACAGGGCTGGAAGGGACCTTGAAGGTCTTCTAGTCCAACTTGCTCAAGCAGGAGACCCTATACCAGGGGTAGGCAACCTCGGCTCTTTTATGACTCATAGACTTCAACTCCCAGAATTCCTGAGTCAGCTATGCTGACTCAGGAATTCTGGGAGTTGAAGTCCATGAGTCATAAAAGAGCCGAGGTTGCCTACCCCTGCCCTATA